GTCCGCACTCTGCTGCTACAGTGTTTTTCCTGTGGTAGATTTATGAGTTTCGGAGTTCCGTGGCCCAGGCTATATCCGTAGGTTTTGGGGGGTTTTGGGCCACTTTGGGCTCTCAATGGTGTGCTGACTCTTGCCCATTACACTGGCAAGGATCGGTTTTCTGGCGGACTTTGGGGTTCTTGGAGCTTCCCCTTTCTGGTGGCATGGTAGGCATGGGGTGCCCGGCTCTAGAACAGGTAGGTGGGGTTTTCCTTTGGGACCATCGTGGGGCAGTGCGGGCTGTCTTGTCATGTAACAGTACACTTTACCCCAGGGCTACTCTGGTTGCAGCGCCTGGCTTGGCGCTGTTTGAATCTAGGGCGGCTGGTCTTAGGTTTTTGTGTCCGGGTATTCCCGATGTGGTGGCCGACGCTCTGTCTTGGTCATTATTGGGCATACTTCGGTCAGAGGTGTCACGGGGTCGATGTTAGGGCAGTGGAGGTGGTCGCCTGGTCCAACGGTCTGATGAAGCTGGTCCGTGGGTCGCCCTATGAGGCGGCGTGGGGCCCACTCCAGTATGGTGGGAGTGATCGGGACGGTTGGGGACGTTTCCTTGTAGGTTCCGGGAGTGGACTGCTCATCTATATGTTTGGTACCGTCTGTTGAGGGCGCTAGGGGTGATTTCTGTGATTGGCAGGGCTCGGCTTCCTGTTCAGGTTACAGTTGTCAGCAAGTGGTGGGGTGTTTTGGTGGACGGACTTATTTCAGGTTTCGCCGCTCGACTGCTGTTGTCGTTGGGACGGGTAAGTCAGTTGCGGTGTGGCTGATGCGTCGATGGAATCTGTGCGATTCTTGGATGTTTAGGGGTCGACGTGCCCTGGCTTTTCCGCTTTCTCCTAAGGTAGATGGAATGCACGGGGTAATGGTTGGGCTCCTAACACGGTGTAACGGGTTCCCAGGATGGCCTGACAAATTCCGTTCTGATCGGAGGCACTGCAGGTTTCCATCAATTGCCTGAAAGTTGGTGGGGTGTTCGAGGGGCATTTATTCTGGTTTGGGATGGCTACGGTCGCCGCCAGGCTTGGCGTGCCTGCGCCAATGGTTCAGGGGCTTGAATTTTGGGAGTCAGGGTGGTGGTTCCTTCAGGTTCACCCTGCAGGTCTCCGAATGGATTTTTCACCGCTGTTACGGCCCCCCTCCCCCCCAGAAAGGGAGGTTCAGTGGTCTGGCACCAGTTACATGGTGGGGGTGTGGTCCTCCTCGTACGGGGTCGGCTGTCCCGCCTCTTGGACGTACCAGGGGGTTTTTGTCATCTCTGGGTGGATTGATATGGGTTCGGTGTTGTATGGGGTGCTCTTCAATCTGAGGGTGCTTTGGAATCTGGACATGTTACACATTCTGTTTCTTACCAGAGGTTCTCAGGGGGCCGGGCTGAGGCTATCACCTGTTCCTGTTGGCAGTGCGCTCAGCAATGTGAGTGCCCTGGTGCGCTGCAGTCGGGAATCGGTCGAGGTGGGTTTCTTGTTTTGGCTTGGGGGAATTCCAGTTCACCTTGGGTGTGGCCGGATGTGGCCTAGTTATCTCGAGGGGATGGGTGCGCTTGCTGGAGGTCGGATGAGGCCTATGTTGATGGTGCACTGAGGACGACTCCGGCTGGAGATGAAACGCGATTGCTGCTATATCAAAGGATTGTATCTGGTATTTTTTCTTGTTTCCTCTGCAGTGTTTTATTTAGGCTTTGTGCCTAGTATATTTTACTATTTATTCACTGCATATTGTCCCTGTTTTAATTGTTTATTTGTGCAATAAATTTTGGAGTCTGCACTTTGTATCCTGTGCTGCTCTCCTCAAGGATATCGTTTAGCCTTTTTAGGCACCCTCCTGCACATTATATAGAGCCTGGGACGGCTTTAAATCCTGTGAGTTTTACGCTACATAAGGAGTCTAACATTATGTATATGTATGTGTATATATGTATGTATATATTGTGCGCTATGTTGTGTTATTGGATTGATCACGAATGGTCATTTAATTTCCTGGTGCAGTACTTATTCTATGTTGATCTGGCACTGCTAGCAGTGGTGGAACAGGCCATGGCTGGTTGTGGTGGGGTCCCCCGCTGATTTTAGGTGTAAAACAGCGTGGTTGTGGCAGGGGTATGTCCTTGCCAATTGAGTTTGAGGGGTTACGTTTAAGTATATGGAATGAGATGAACAAGTTTTTAAGGTCTCAACCTCCCCTGCTTCAAAAGGTTAACATTAGGTTGCCTGAGGTGTCGTGCCCATCGAGCGTGGATAAGGTCAGCTGATGGCGGGCATTGGAAAGATATGATTTTATGACGAGGGGAGAGGTGAGAGGAAGTGGTGATTAGGAACCACTGTATGTTTATTGGCAAGGACGGTTGGGTCACTGTATAACACTATGTGTGGAGTTATATATGTATATATGTTAATTTATGCTTATTTATGTCTAACGTTTTGGTTACAGAAAAGAAGAGATTTAATAAATAAAATTATGGTTGTGTTATGCAGTAATTTAGTTTGTGATAATAAATGCTGTGGCCTGTTTCATCCATACTAAGTGGTCTGTCGTTATTGGGGGGGTTGAATGGGGTTGGATTTTGTTCTAGGCTGCATCACGATTCCCCACTACGTACATACAAGGCCCTGGGGAGATAGCGCAGCTAAGCGGACAAGGGCACATGTAGGAGTGTGGGGATAGATGCATGGGATTGGATGGGAAAGAGTGTGTGGGTGGGATTATGTTCTGTGTAAGCTAGTGTGGGGGAGGTCTTACCTCAGTGCCACTTGGGATTCGGGCCAGCAAACAGCTTCCCTCCCGCCCACCCTATTGGTATATTTAGTCACAGCTAGCCGGGGGTATGTCCTTGCCAATTGAGTTTGAGGGGTTACGTTTAAGTATATGGAATGAGATGAACAAGTTTTAAGGTCTCAACCTCCCCTGCTTCAAAAGGTTAACATTAGGTTACCTGAGGTGTCGTGCCCATCGAGCGTGGATAAGGTCGGCTGATGGCGGGCATTGGAAAGATATGATTTTATGACGAGGGGGGAGGTGAGAGGAAGTGGTGATTAGGAACCACTGTATGTTTATTGGCAAGGACGGTTGGGTCACTGTATAACACTATGTGTGGAGTTATATATGTATATATATTAATTTATGCTTATTTATGTCTAACGTTTTGGTTACAGAAAAAGAAGAGATTTAATAAATAAAGTTATGGATGTGTTATGCAGTAATTTAGTTTGTGATAATAAATGCTGTGGCCTGTTCATCCATACTAAGTGGTCTGTCATTATTGGGGGGTTGAATGGGGTTAGTTTTGTTATAGGCTGCATCGCAATTCCCCACTACGTACATACATGTGCTGACAACAAAATCACACAAAAATAAAAAAATGGAAATCAAATTTTTCAACCCATGGAGGTCTGGATTTGGAGTCACACTCAAAATTAAAGTGGAAAAACACACTACAGGCTGATCCAACTTTGATGTAATGTCCTTAAAACAAGTCAAAATGTGGCTCAGTAGTGTGTGTGGCCTCCACGTGCCTGTATGACCTCCCTACAACGCCTGTGCATGCTCCTGATGAGGTGGTGGATGGTCTCCTGAGGGATCTCCTCCCAGACCTGGACTAAAGCATCTGCCAACTTCTGGACAGTCTGTGGTGCAACATGACATTGGTGGATGGAACGAGACATAATGTCCCAGATGTGCTCAGTTGGAATCAGGTCTGGGAAATGGGCGGGCCAGTCCATAGCATCAATGCCTTAGTCTTGCAGGAATTGCTGATACACTCCAGCCACATGAGGTCTAGCATTGTCTTGCATTAGGAGGAACCCAGGGCCAACCGCACCAGCATTTGGTCTTACAAGGTGTATGAGGATCTCATCTCGGTACCTAATGGCAGTCAGGCTACCTCTGGCGAGCACATGGAGGGCTGTGCGGCCCCCCAAAGAAATGCCACCGCACACCATTACTGACCCACTGCCAAACCGGTCATGCTGGAGGATGTTGCAGGCAGCAGAACTGTCTCCACGGTGTCTCTAGACTCTGTCACGTCTGTCACATGTGCTCAGTGTGAACCTGCTTTCATCTGTGAAGAACATAGGGCGCCAGTGGGGAATTTGCCAATCTTGGAGTTCTCCGGCAAATGCCAAACGTCCTGCATGGTGTTGGGCTGTAAGCACAACCCCCACCTGTGGACGTCGGGCCCTCATACCACCCTCATGGAGTCTGTTTCTGACCGTTTGAGCAGACACATGCACATCTGTGACCTGCTGGAGGTAATTTTGCAGGGCTCTGGCAGTGCTCCTCCTGTTCCTCCTTGCACAAAGGCGGAGGAAGCGGTCCTGCTGCTGGGTTGTTGCGCTCCTACAGCCTCCTGCACGTCTCCTGATGTACTGGCCTGTCTCCTGGTAGCGCCTCCATGCTCTGGACCAGTGGCGTACACATGACCCATGGGGCCCCGGTGCAAAAATTGATCCGTGGGCCCCCACCGTGCGCGCGGGCTGGGCCGCAACACATGGCGGTGGGCACCTGGTCGCAGGGGTTACAGGGCTGCGACCCCTGCGACCGCGGTATGTACGCCAGTGCATGCAGATGCACACACACTTAAAGGACCACTACAGACACCCAGATCACATCAGCTCAATGAAGTTGTCTGGGTGTCAGGTCCTTCTAGTTTTAACCCTGCAGCTGAAAACATAGCAGTTTCAGAGAAACTGCTATGTTTCACTGAGGGTTAATCCAGCCTCTAGTGGCTGTCTCACTGACAACCGCTACAGGAGCACACTGAACGTCCATAGGAAAGCATTGAGTAATGCTTTCC